TTGTGGACTTCAACTCCCAGAATTCCCCAGCCAGCTGCCTGTGGAATTCTGGGAGTTGAAGTCCACAAGTCATAAAAGGGCCATAGTTTTCCACTCCTGCTCTATAACAGGGATCTCCAACCTTGGCAACTTTAAGACTTGTGGACTTCCAACTCCCAGAATTCCTCAGCCAGCATGGAATTCTGGGAGTTGAAGTCCACAAGTCTTAAAGTTGCCAAGGTTGGAGATCCCTGTTATAGAGCAGGAGTGGAAAACTATGGCCCTTTTATGACTTGTGGACTTCAACTCCCAGAATTCCATGCTGGCTGAGGAATTCTGGGAGTTGGAAGTCCACAAGTCTTAAAGTTGCCAAGGTTGGAGATCCCTGTTATAGAGCAGGAGTGGAAAACTATGGCCCTTTTATGACTTGTGGACTTCAACTCCCAGAATTCCATGCTGGCTGAGGAATTCTGGGAGTTGGAAGTCCACAAGTCTTAAAGTTGCCAAGGTTGGAGATTCCCCTGGTTTAAATGGTGCGGTCTTTCAGCGAAGCCACAAATAACTTTACAGATTTGATTTTTTTTTTTGCCAGGGTCATTAAATGAGACATCATGTGAGCATGATTGGCAACTTCCTCTCCTCTTTCCCCCATTGACTTTGCTTGTCAGGAGCCAGCTGGGAAGGTTTCGATGTGATTTTGGGATATTGCAACCATCATAAATAAGTGCTGGTTGCAGGTGTCATCGTCAGGATGCTGCGACGGTTGTAAGTATGAGGACCGGCTGCAAAATACAGGCAGCCCTCGACTTATAGCAGTTCATTTAGTGACCATTCAAAGTTACAACAGCATTGAAAAAAGTGACTTACGACCGTTTTTCACACTGACGACCGTTGCAGCATCCCCAGGGTCACGTGATCAAAATTCGGGCACTTGGCAAAAGGTTCATATTTATCATGGTTGCAATGTCCCGGTGTGTGTGTGTGTGTGCGTGTGTGTGTTTGTGACGGGATCATCTCTTGCCTCCATCTGACAAGCAAAGTCAATGGGGAAGCCAGATTCATTTAGCAACTGTGTTACTAACTTAACAAGTGCAGAGATTCCCTTAAGGTTGGAAAGGAAGGTTGTAAAATCTGTGCAAATCTTATTTCACAATTGTCTCGCTTAGCATCAGAAAACGTTGGGGCTCAATTGTGTTCGTAAGTCAAAGGACTTACTTGGTTGCTGCTGAGTGTTGAAACCACCAAAGCCCAAACCGGTTCCCAAAGTGCCAAGCCCAGTTCCTGTAGTTGGGGCTGTTCCAAAGGTGGTACCGAAACCGAAACCTTTGTTCTGGGTAGCTCCAAACAACCCTGGAGGGAAAGACGAAGACAGTCAGCCACCAAGCAAGCTGCCGTATTTTTCAGAGTATAAGACACTCCGGACAATAAGACGCATCTTAGTTTTTGGGGAGGAAAATAAGGGGGGGGGGGAAATCTGCCTCTGCCTACCAGCATCCATGGTATTCATCTGCCTAGCGTCCTGTCAGTGTGTGAGAGAGTTGAGGGCTATTTGGAAACAAACAGTATTTGCTGCGTGGACAACAAGGAGACAGCAAGGAGCCTGGGCGTGGCTTGTTCTGTACTAAAGCTGCATGCTGTGCTGATATCTGAAACTTCTCTCCTCTGCTGAACTACCATGTTGGGAAACCTGCTTTTGGTATATATAAAGAGAAGTTATTGAATCCTGCTGAATCAGTGACTTCTGTGTGCTTTGTAAATGTGATTGCTGCTGCAAACTCTGACACCTCCTTGCAGCAAATGGAGAACAGCCAGCTCAGCTTCAGCACATTGATGCAGCCTGAGCAGCTGATTGGCGGGTGGATTGACCTCCCAGAACACCCCCAATCAGCTGTTCCAGACTGCAGGGATTGCCACAGACCATCGCCTCCTCCGTGCCTCACATTTTTGGCTACATTTGGTACATAAGATGCACCCAAATTTTCACCCTCTTTCGGGGGTGGTGGTGTGTGTGTGTCTTATACTCCAAAAAATACGGTAATTGCCCTTAATAATATGCATGTATTTTAATCA